ACTTTCCCATAATATTTTCAAAATAGTAATGTTCATAGGAGCAGATTGCCATATTTTGTCTTCCAGAGTTACTGGTTTGCTACATTTGCCAACCTTTTTGTTGTTCTACCAGAGACACGTGAGTATCTATAACTGTTTAACAAATCATCTCAAGGCCCACTGCCCTAGAACAACGATTGATTACTATCTCTTAAGTTTTCTGGGTTAATTGGGCTCAGCGAGGCTGTTTGTTGAAAATATCTCAGGCTTCATTCAATGGGATCAGAGTTGAGGTAGTCTGAATGTCCAAGATGGTTTCTTCACACATGTTTTGCGCCTTGTTTGGGCTTCCCATGGTAAGATAGACTCATAGTAGTTGTAATTCTTATATGGTGGTCAGCCTTGAAGCAATGAAAGCACAATAGAAGTCATTTTCTCTTAAAAGACTGTCTGGAATTGTCACATCTTTCCTTCTCTCAGAATGATCCTCTTTGGGGATGAGTGATCCAAGGCCAACCCAGGAGGAAAAATAGACTTCATATTCCAACAGGCAGAGTGACTGCACATGTGCCCCAATCTTCCATCTGTCACAGTGTCAATGGGACATATATGCAAAAATGCTTTTGAGCAATAAGAAACCTGGTATGGATCGCAGTAAAGAAACCAGTGTTAAAAACATGAATGGAGGAGGTTTACATGTAAATATTAAAAGTCAAACCTGTGGTAATGTATGAGATTATGGAATTGAGAATGGGAAAAGAATTGCCTTTAAGAGAGGAAACCTGTCTGTAGACAACTGGACATCCCCTCACAGCAGGGTCACAAGGAAGGGATGAGTCAACCAGGGAGCAGTAAAGCACCGATGAAAGACGCAATATTCCGCAGGGTCCTTGAGGAGGCTTCTTCAGCCTCCGCTACCTTGACCCCAGTCCTGCCTTTCACTGCAGGCTAGACCAGAGCATGTGCACAGGTACAGATAAGAGAGCTCAAGATACACGGCATCCAGGAACAGGAAGGGGAGTAGTGATACCAGAAGGGTAAGGGGAAGATGGGGAGAAAAGGGGAGGAAGGGGGAACCGATCACAAGGACTAACCCATAACCCCACTTCCCCCTCCCTTCTGTTGAATAACAGAACCATGGGGGAAGAGAGATTAGTGGTCATATGAGATGAAAATATGATATGAAAAGATATGAAAATAATAATTTATAATTTATCAAGGGGTCACTAGGGTGTGGGGAAGGAGGGAGGGAAAAAAAGAGGAGCTGGTACCAAGGACTCAATAGAAAATAAATGCCTAGAAAATAATTATGCCAACATATGTACAAATATGCTTGATACAATTGATGTATAAATTGTTATAAGAGCTGCAAGAGCCCCAATAAAATTATCTTTTAATAAATAAAAAGAAAGGAAACTCAATAAAGAAAAAAGATGCTAACAACCAATAACTAGGGACCCAGCATGAGATGCAAGAATGTCAAGAAAGAAGAGTGATTTGTGTGCAAATGCTGCAGAAAACAGCAAAAAATGAAAGGCAAGAGAGTTCAAAAACTCCAGTTGTAGGAGTTGGTCCTGCCTTGCAAGAACTAATTTGCTAAGAGACAAAAGGAGTGCAGGGGCAGAGTTGTAAGGAAGTTGGAGGGAAGGAGAGATCTTGAGCATATGCTGTCTGCGAGAATTCTGGCCTGAAAGGTGGCTGGGCTGGTGTAGGAAGCTGCAAGCACAGGTGTGTTTGACTCTGTTAGAGAATGCTTCTTTGGGGTGGGGGTGTGTGTGGGGGGGGATAGGAGACATTCAAAACAGAGGAATACAGAAAGACTGCTGGAGGTAATTTACAGAGATGCCTGG